GGTGAAAATAACAAACAAATTATACAATGTGACACATGAAAAATGTACTGACCAGCAAGCTTTGTCAAGATCCAAATAGAACTTCAACATCTGAGGAATAAACAAATGTGAGGAATGTGTTAATAAGGGTTTCTTCCCCATAGCTTCATTTTAAAGAAAAGACTGGTAACTTTTCCTGCTAGGTTTTTGGTTCTGATGACTGACATAAAAGCAAAATGAAAAATTTACCATGTGGATCTTTTAAAGCACAGTGCAGATCAAGGAATGTAAAACAATATTTATGTTTCTTTTATGTTCTTCTATGAGAGACTGTATTACCATTTCCAGCTACTAATAGTGAAGCTGTTCTGTCTTTTCACATCCATATTCATTGTCAAGATGAGCTTGTTCATGGTAAGCAAGTGGCTGTGAGTCATCAGGCTGGAGCCATTAGTCATACACAGAGAGGCAACGTGTAGTCTGGTTGATTAATCAGAAACTCGTAGTGAGAAAGGCCAAGTATCATTTCACAGCAGATTGAGGCTTAAAGGTTTTTGGTATAGAGCTCTGTAACACTGCTTTTCAAGATATACACACATACACATATGTGTATGTATATATACATATGTATGTATATATGTGTACAGATATACACATACATATACATATGTATATATCTACGAGCATATGCATGTGCGTATATATATTCCCCATTCTCAGTAAGATCTGGCAGCTTTTAGAGTAGCAATCACCAAAAACACTCTGTTCACACAAGTTTACAAGTTAACAATGGAATGACTTCTAAACCCTTGGTTTATCAAAAAAAGAACTTCTAAAATCACAACATTTTTGGTTATTTTCTCCACAAGTGCACAGTGAACAACGTTTTTTACAAAAGAAGAAAACAGTGCCTTAGTGATTTAAATTAAAAAAAAAAAAAAAAAAACAGCGATAGCTACTTTCTACAGCATGCAACACTATAAAAATGGTGAGCTGGAGCCACAATGAGCCTTAGAGAGACTGTCCTGACATCTGGTTTTTCAACTCCCAGCAAAAGCACGAGAGGTAATGAGGAATGCACATTAGACCATTGCCTTTTTTCCTTCTATCATTTTCAATTTGCAGTTGTGTTTTCTTGAAGAGGCCCATACCTAAAATACTCCCTTCTTGTAAATTTTATATTTATCTTTACAATATTATAATTTCCAATTTCCCCAGAGCAACCCAAATCAATGATTGCTGTAAATGAAATAAGGGTAGAATAAGCTTTGTGACTGATGGGCCCAGTCACCAGTTTCTTCCTAAGGACATTCTTTCAACTTCCTTTTGCAGCAAATTATGCATATGAAGAATGAGTTCTACAGGAGAACTTGGAATTTTAGCTTTTTAAAATATGGCTTTGTTAGGAGTATGTCAGCTTGTTAGATCTGAAAAGTCTTCTCCCAATGTTGGGGCAGAAAAAGAAAGATCTTCAAAAGTGGAGCAAGATAGGATTGGTATCTTGAAAGAAAAGCAGAGAGTGGAAGAAAGATAAAGCGAGGTGCCCCACATACCCCCAAAAAGAAGTTGGACCTCCATAAATAGTCCTGTTATAGTAACCCATGGTATTTATTTCCATGATATGTGAAACAGTGTTTTCTAGTTCTGTCTGAATTATCCCTGATATGGCTTCCTGAGGCTAGAAGATCATTCCGACCTGTTTAGGTGGTCTTCACTAGTCTTTGGAACTAGAGGGGATTGTGTCAGAGAAACTTCCATGTCAGGAAGTTCTCACCTGTTTCACAATGCTTATCACCATAAAGACAGTGGGAGCGATTTGGCTAATGGTTGAAAAAGAAGGAAGTTCTGGGCGGGCTTCTCTGGACCAAATGTGGTCAGTTTTTAATGAGTGACCACACAGAGTCATGGGCACAGGATTGGAAACCACTCCAATGGGGCAGCTTTCTGGCCAAGGGACAGCGAATTGATTTTGCTTGCCTGGGAATGGATTCTTTTTGTCCCTCTATTCTGCCTCAGAACTCCTTAAGTGAAACTGGGCCTGATTTGTATTTCGAAAGATAGGTAATAGAGAGATGAGAATCAGCCTCCATCACAGATATGCCTTTTCTTTCCATAGTACGTCTAATAAATTCATGAGTAAAGCTTACAAGGTGAGATCATGCCCCAACGATGCCTGAAAAATGTTACGGGCTAAAAAAAATATTAGTGTTTGAAAAGGCAGTAAAATAATTTTTTTTTTTTTTTGGCATTCTGGCACATTTTAAAATGCATTGCTGAAGTCAATAACAGTCATTGAATGTTGGTAAATATTACATTTTATATATGTAAAAGAGACTCTTATTTTTTCTTCTTGATTGAAACAGAAGTCTCCACTGTTTCTTTTTAATTTCCCCCTTCTCCTTTTCCTCCTTCTCCTCTTCCTTTTAGATAGTACAAGTATTGATGGTTGTGTGCTTTCCCCATGGAATTCCTATAAGTCTTCCTTAGCACTTTTGCATCAAGCCTTCTACCACTGCTGTAAGTGAAGGTCCACGGGGGAATTCAAATTGAGATCTGTGACATCCAGGAAATCAATGTTGAAGATGCTGGGGCCACTCGTGGTAAGGGAACTGAAGCTTGGTGTGGAACTTGGTGGAGTGAGATCCAGCCACTCCATGGTTTCCCACGGAGATTCAGTGAAGCTTAGCTGCAGCCCATTACTGTCCACAGAAGAAGGTGAAAACTGCGTGTGCATTGGGGAGAGGGGACCTGGCAAGATCTCATGTGCATTGAAGAGGTCTTCTGCAGCCTTCCCGGAGAATCCATCCATTATACCATCGAAAGAAGGCTCCTCACTCCCAATTCTTAGAAGGGCAACATCGCTCACCTTACCTAAGGGGCTCTGGGAATTTAATAAGACTTCAAGGTGCTCGTCGCTGTCTGTGCCATAGTGATCGAAGAAGAGCTGTCCTCCTGCAGATGCTTGCTCATAGGAAGCTGAGGGTTTGGGGAGGGCAGCAGTAGGGCTTCGGGAAGACCCGGGCATCTTTGGGACTTTTTGAAGACATGAATGATCCTCTCTGGCATCAGCTGGCATTTCTGTTGGTAAAACACAATTGGCATTGTTAAGTCACTTCAAATAGAGCATGCCACACAATATGAATCTTTGAAATGAATGAGTTAAACATAAGATACAGGAGATGGCTATGCTTCTCTGGTCATTGCTCATCACCCTGTCTCATCCCTAGGCTGTACTATATATCCCCAATTCTTCTTCCCTCTGGTCTCTCTTCAAATCCTTTTTTTTTTTTTTCTGGAAATTCCACTCTGTGATTATCAAACTCTCAAAGCAGGTTCCTTTACCTACTCCTTCACTGACACCTGGCTGTCCCCTGAGGATACTGCATCCTCTGTTATAGCCTCAGTGGGGGCTCATTTATTTCAGCCAGAAGAGGAGTCTTCCTGGGTGCTATCCTGCCGCCACTTTCTGATTGTTACCCTACACTTTCTTATAACTCCCCAGTGTTTTTGAGGGTCATTTTGCTTTCCCTGCCACTCTACGCTCCCTCTTCAGCCTCCTGGTCACTCCATCTCATCCACTGAAAACTAATCCCCAGTTCATTGCCTTTTTCCCATTTCAACTCTTGTCATTCTATGCAATTTCGGCATCCTCAGAAGAGACCCATTGTACAGCTAGCCTCTCAGTTCCTTGACATCCCCATCACCCTCCAGTGATTCCTTCCATTCTTACTCTGTTGGACACACTCTCAACCTTGTCATCTTCAAATACTGCATCCCTCTGAAAGCTCAGTTTTAACCAAAATTTCCCACTCTTAGATGATCCCTTCCCATTCCTCCAGCTCACCTGATGAGAACAATTTCTCAGCTACTTGGAGTAGCTTCAATCTATTCACTCTTCTGTCTTTTCACCATCCATTGGCCCCTTCTGGTTTTTATTTCTTTCTTTGTCCAGCCTATATTCTTTGGTCCACCATTAGAATTACTCTATTATAAATATCCTCAACATCCTTCCTCTTTTCTCCTTTCACCATTCTCCTCTGGCAAAACACCACACCTGGGTGAATCTTATTGTTTTCTCTGAGCCTGCCCTGGATCAGCTGGATGTTGTAAGAGAAAAATTTTGGAATGAAGCTGACTGATTTCACTTTAAATTCATGATGTCAAGCCTACAGTGGACATTTAATACCACCTAGCAATCCTACTGTTTCTCCAGAAAACCCAGTTTATTCATGACTGATTCATAAATTTTCTTCTTTCCTTGAATCACCTGGGCTTCCCTCCTGTATTATGTTTTTAATAAGTATGTGACCTTGCCACATACTTATTAAAAACATGAGGGCGTCTGATACGAACCTTCTCGTCTTTTTATCATAAAATTTATAAAGATAAGATTTTGTCTCTTTTTCTTCTTTCCTCTTGTTCCAGTGGAGGAATTGTCTGCTCACTTGCTTGTTGCTCATCTCCCTTACCAGGTACACTCATGTTCATAGCAGTATTATTTACAAAAGCCAAAATGTAGAAGCAGCCCAAGTATCCATTAACGGATGAATGAATAAACAAAATGTGGTATAGACTGCACTCCACGAAGGCGGGGAATGCTCCAGCACAGCACTGAGCCTGCTGCCTGGACACTCCTTCTCTGAAACTAAATGCTGTTATTTAAGGGCTTACATCTTACGTGTTTTTTTTTTTTTCTTTCTGTCTACATGTTCACTTTACATGATTTTATTCATCTGTGTGGTTTCAAATTCTAGGCACATACTATTTAATTTTAAAAAATAAATAAATATATGACTTAAAAGGAGGCAAAAAGAAAATGTTGATCAAAAAGAAAATGTTAATCATTTTTATTGCTAGCTTGAATGACATTTAATCATGTATGAACCATCCAGTGGGAGATTACTAATTGAATTTCATTTTGAGTAAGTAGCACAAAATTTGCTTTATCTGCTTTATTCTTCTTATAATTAAGAAGATAGGTACATTGGGATTACAACAGTAGAGTGAAATAGCATAGCAAGAGGACACAGCTATAGAAACAGGGACTGAGTTGAAACATGAAAACTGTTAAAATGATTAGTGAAAATGTTTCCAGGACAAAGGGACCAAAGCAGTGAGATATTACCCACTAATGCCTTCCTTTATCTGCTCCAAACGTGGACAGGAACTCAGATGAAGTGACCACTCTCCTCATAGATTTTTTGGTCCCATTTACAGTTAACATCTGACCTTAGTCCTAAGGGTTTCCTCTCTAGAGTACTTACAGAGTATCCTGTTGGGCAAGACACAAAACAGACTTACCTCCACTTTCAATGAGGACATCCAGGAGTTCGTCCATCTGCTGACTCCGAGTCATTTGCTATTGTAAATTAACCAAAGGAGGACAGAGAAGTTAGAAGGTAGCTACTTCTTGGCTGAGAAATTATTAGAAGCAGCATCACAGATTTTTGAACTAGGTTTGGTTAGTTGTTTTTATTTAATTGTGGTAAAGTAGACATAACATAAAATTTACCATCTTAACCATTTTAGAAAGTACAACCATTCACATTGTTGTGCAACTATTACCACCATCCAGAACTTTTTTCATCTTGCAAAAGCATTTTTATTGCTAGCAAAAGCAAGATGAAAAAAGTTCTGGATGGTGGTAATACTCTGTCCCCATTAAGTAACAACTCACTATTCCTTTGTCCTCCCAGTCCCTGGCAACCACCATTCTACTTTCTGCCCCAATGAATTTAACTACATTAGATACGTTGCATAAGTGGATTCCTATTAGTATTTTTCCTTTGATGACTGGCTTATTTCACTTAGCATAATGTCTTCTAGCTTCATCCATGTCATAGTATATGTCAGAATCTCCTTCCTTGTTAAGGCTAAATAGCATTCATGTCTATACCACATGAATGCTATGTGGTATAAATGACATACGAATGTCATTTATGTGGTATAAATGACATATGTTATGTGGTATAAATGACACATGAATGTATGTCTATACCACATTTTGTTTATTCATTCATCCATTGATGGATACTTGGGCTGCTTCTACATTTTGGCTTTTGTAAATAATACTGCTATGAACAAGAGTGTAACTGGCTAAAGGTTTTTGGCCCTTCTTCTCACTTTGAAGTCACTTGGATCTGTCCCGTTTGGGTGCTGTGAATGTAGTCCAAGAATGTGACTCATATTTCCCTAGTTCCTC